TAAAACTTTGGGGCTTCGCTTTTTTTGATTTTGGGGCTTCGTTTTTGGGGGCCTTGGACTCTTTGGGACCCCGCACTGAAACAGAGAACAAAAAAAAAACGTTTGGGTCCCCGCTCTTTCGGGTCTAGATTTTTAAATTTTGAGGTCTGAAGTCTTTCTGGGGACCTTGGGCTCTTGGGTGCTACGCGCTGAAACAAAGAAGAAAAACGTTTGGGGTCTCGCTTTTTAAATTTTGGGGGACTTGGGCTCTTTGGGGCCCCGCACTGGCGTACTGTTTGTGCCCGGCTCTGAAACAGGAAAAAAACCGTTTGGGACCCCGCTTTTTGGGGCCTCGCTTTTTAAATTTTGGGGGACTTGGGCTCTTTGGGGACCTTGGACTCTTTTGGGCCCCGCGCTGTTTGGATCCCGCGCTGAAACAGGGAAAAAACCGGTTTGGGGCTGCGCTCTTTGGTGTCTTGATTTTTAAATTTTGAGGTCTGACATCTTTCTAGGGACCTTGGGCTCTTTGGGGTCCCGCACTGTTTGGGCCCCGCGCTGAAACACTGAAACAAGGGGAAAAAAGTTTGGGGCCCCGCTTTTTGAGGCCTCGCTTTTTCAATTTTGGTGGACTTGGGCTCTCTGGGGCCCCGCACTGGCGGACTGTTTGGACCCCGCGCTGAAACACTGAAACATGGAAAAAAAATAACAAAAAAAAACGTTTGGGGTCCCACTTTTAGGGGCCTCGCTTTTTAAATTTTGGGGGACGTGGGCTCTTTGGGGCGCCACTGGCGCACTATTTGCATGGGCCCCGCGCTGAAACAGAAAACAAAAAATTCGGAATAAAATAAAAGAGAGTGAGAGCGGGGCCCCCAAAAGCGCGGGGCCCGCGGCATATGCCGCTTCTGCCATATGGTTAATCCGGCACTGGGTGCGGAACTCCGGTGATGTAAAAATCCTCGAAGGTTTTCCCCCCCGGTTCTTTACGCTGAGGGTTCTCGTTGTTAGCGACCCGGCCTTCGCTAAAAGTTCCGGTTTTTCCTTCGGTGATTTTCGTTTGGCTTTAATCTAAAATAAAAAAAACAGTGGCCATGGCCAGGACTGAAGTAGTACTGTTTGCTTAAAAGATGATTGTTCAATACTTTAGTTTAAAAATGGGAGTACATATATGGGTTTTAGTTAGGTGAACACGGTGCACTTTCATGGTGGGTTTCAATAAGTATTACAGGACAGTAAATTTAACTTGAAAGAGCAAGAAAACTAAACTAAATATCCCTAGTCCGTTCATTTGTCTCCCAAATACAAAACAACTATTGAAAAGAAAAATTGTCATATAATTTCATAATTGAAATCCTCTATTAATCCTTCCTTCAAATAATTGGGACTTCAGTAGCGCAATTGTCAAAGCAAATATGCCTTTCACCTCTGAGATTGCTGCTCCGATTCTCGTTGCAGACTTGCGACGTTTATGTGAAAATAGTTAGTGAACGCTCTTCCAAAAGCCGTGGGTTCTTCCGGGTCTCCGGTTTCCTCCCACAGGGAATGTTGAAAAACTGTGCTCCTTCGTTTAGACTAGAATCTAGACAAGTGGCTTCGAGAGGCGCACTCACAAATTTTTGAACTCGATTAGGTCTCAGTTGCTCTCAGAATAAGGATGATTAGCACACCCCACTTACTCAAAATGTAGGTGTCCACTTGACATGATCTTGTTTTGTCCATTCACAACAATGGTATACATAAATCATACTTGGGAAATGTGTGTGAGGCAACGTTTACACAGGGTTTATACTATACTGGATAGCGTTACATAGTAGACTGCGAAAAAGCACTATCCCCATTAAGCAACCATATTCCATAAAGTCAACATGTCGAGTAGGCCCCCTGAACTGCGCACAACAAAGCCATGTGGCTGCTTAATAAAGGATTCGCTCTAATAAATTAAACGTTATGTTTACAACTTTCCCAAAAGTTTCTATGCTAGAGTTCTAACACACACAGTACTATCTTGTCTCTGGGTTAAATTCCTAGAACACTGAAATATTTTCCAAGAAGTCACTTAACTGGTGTTAGAGGTTATTATTAAAGAGGAGTTAAAGATCTACATTATATAGTATGCATGAAACTTTAACGTTTGTAAAAACAAACCTGTTTAATTAATAAATAGAGAATAATACATGGGTGCTCGGAAATATACCAGATTTATTTCGAGTGTTGAACGTGATATCTCACGAGTGAGCGCAGCGAACGAGTGAGATATCATGTTCAACACGAGAATTAAATCTGGTATTTGCAAGCACCCATGTATTTTTCTGTTTATTATATAAAGGACAGTCTTTGAAAAGCGATAATTTTTACAGAAAAGCGATAACTGAAAAGCGATAATTTTCACATGCGAGATTATCATAAATAATCTCACATGTGAGATTGTCACTTTTATCAGTGCTCGAAATATTTATAAAGCACTATACTTTATGTAATAATGTTTAAATTTGTCTTTGCGAGAGATTAAATTGTAGTTTGAATGATTCCTGTATCTTACCGAAAATATACCCCAACTTAACAAGACAAAATTGTTGAATTACGCGGTTTGAAATGCGGGGGAAATAACAGCAACATTGAGTGGGGGAGACCCTCATTAACAATTTTGTCCAGGATTTTACTCCCATCCGTCTTTATGTTCAATCCCTTGGGATTTCTTGAAACAATAAGCAAATTTTTAGATTGCAATTTCACCTCATTCGCAAATGAGCATAACTAGATGCCCAAAAATCTCGAAATTACATACTTTTTGCTTTGTCGGACGTTGTAATAAATGTAAGAAAACACACAATTACCTGAATGCTACTGAAATATGTTTAGGAACTTAAGTACCAGAAGAAAGCGTACAGATCTGTCCCGTAAAGATATATACGTTTACACACTACGATTTGTCGTGTACAATTCGTATTCTGGCGTATGTGATCGAATAGATAACCACTTTTTTCTGGTTTTCCTTTGTATTTTTCTAGGTATACGGACTCGAATGTATACGTACCGCAACCCAATTTCTTTTCTTTTCTGAAAAGTTTCCACTCAAACCTTGGGAACTCTGGATCCTTTTTTTCTTTTTTTTCAGGACTTGTTGGAATTTTAAAACTCGCTGCCATTTTGTCGCATCCGATCGAATTTTGGCGCGAAATTGTGGTCCTAGTCCGCGCTTAATAAAATAAAGTCCAGTCCGGGTTTTACTAATAAAGTCCAGTCCGCGTTTTACTAATAGAGTCCAGTACGCGTCTTACTAATGCGTCTTACTAACGCGTTTTACAAATGATTTCCAGTCCGCGTTTTACCAGACCAGTCCAGACCGCGTTTCACCATATGCCTATTGTAACTATGTGAACAGAAACCTGTTGGCATGGTTTCAATAAGAATATTGGTATCGAAAGTGATAAATTAATGAACGCAAACGAAACGACTGACGCGCGCTAAGACTAAAATGTATACATCGGTCAAATTGACCATTTGCGTAATTGACTAAATTTTGATCTAGACAAAAATTTCACCACAGCTTGAAAGAGCATCACTAAATTAGTAATATTCCAAAGTTTCGTTGCGAAATGTTGTAAAATGCGGATAATATAGCCTTGCAAAGTTTGCAATTTTCAGTCATTTTAGATTACAAACGGGAAATTGACAGCCCGATACGCTTTGAGGGTGTCAATTTCCCGTTTGTAATCTAAAATGACTGAAAATTGCAAACTTCGCAAGGCTATATTATCGACATTTTACAACATTTCGCAACGAAACTTTGGAATATTACTAATTTTGTGATGCTCTTTCAAGCTGTGATGAATTTTTTTTCTAGACTTGTTGAGTTCAAAATTTAGTCTATTACGCAAATGGTCAATTAGGCCCGGCCGAGTTGGCACGATACGCGTGTTCAATGGGTGCGCCATAAATGTATGGTCAAAAATCGACGATATGCTAAATAATGTTCTCGAGTATAAATTTCCCCTCTCCACAATTTTCGTCTTATCGCAATTTCAGGTGTTGAGTTCTTCCTGGATCTCTTAAATTCGACGTTGTGACAATAGTGGATCTGGTATACGGGTATACCGTGTAACTTGGCCCTTATTTGTAAAATGCGCAATGAAAATAACTAAACATATAAGGTCTTGAAAATGTAAAATATAAGGTAGGGGGGGGGGGAGAATTTGTCCGAAAAAAATTTGAGTCTCTGTAATGATATTTCCAGCATTTTGATGATATATGCGTCAGAATAAAATTGGCTTCAACAGTCTCTTTAAAACCACTACAAAACATACTGCTTACAAAACATAATCATTTCCCTAAATAGATGCTAATTTTTCCCTACGGGGGTTCTAGCTTCCCCAACAGGGGGCTGCTGCCCCCCCCCCCTGCCACTCTGGCGCTCAGACAGAAAGATCATTAAAAATCTATCGGGTCTATTTCAGAACCATCCTCAGAAATATGAAAAACTATTTTAGAATAAATATGAAACAAGTTTTTTGCTGTCAACTTTATTTTATTTTGCTTTTAAAATGGGGCGAGTTTCACAAACAGGCATGCATGCAAACACAAACTGATGAAAGAAGACTATAAAATAAAAGTAACGATATACAATAAATGAACTTTCTATTAAAAGTTATTTTATTGCTATTCTCATAATGGTTCATCATTACTTAATTGATGAGTCAAACAGTCAATCAAAAACCCGATAACAATAATGTCCTATATATATAATGCATGATAGAGTAATTATACTATATGCAATCAAACTAAGCATTTAGTACTGACTACCAGCCTCGTAACCAGGCGCAAATAGCTAAAAATAGGCACACTATAGTGTTTTTTATATAGATCAGTGGCTAAGATGAGCGAGCGCGATGGGGTGATCTATATAAAAAACACTGTAGTGTGCCTATTTTTAGTTATTTGCGCCTGGGTACGAGGCTGACTGACTACAGTTACTACTATAGTTTTTGCATCTGCGTCAGCTAGTTCTTATAGAATCATTGCAAATACTATTGTACGAGTATATATCCAAATGCCGCCGTGTTCTTATCATTCAGTTGTTCACAAACAGCCATATTGCCGCACGTTGTGCTCCTTACATCATCCCGGCATCCACTTACTGAAGTTCCAAACCCAATGCACGAGTCACAACTATCGCAGTTTTCTTCATTATTTGCCACCACACCAATTCGTATGGTCATGTTCCAATGCCACGTTTCATACTTGTAAACACCTTGTATATTAAATCCTTCTACATTACAGTATTCTTGCAAAGATGAACCATCGATAAGAGACTTCCATGCTTCCTTACCAACAGTTGTTTCTTTGAAAGTCCCGTTTTCGATCACACTGTGTAACGAGTTTGTGGTGTAGTTTAACGCTATCCATTTTGTAGAACCATTTACTTTCATTCCGAGGCATATTTTGTTAAACGGCGTGTTCCAGTAAGAAGCAAGTTTTGTCTGTTTTTCATTCAAACCTTCAAGTCCATCTTCAACTGCGTAGGTTTCTTTGTTTGTCCAGTAATGAGAGGTGTAGTTGAATTCATTCTGGAAATCAAAAGGTTTACTCACTTCTCTATATATTGTTTGTCATGTTTATCCTTTCGAAGAGACTATGTTAGACTAAGATTATCCGTACCTTGTTCCCATCTACTTTCATCACTAGTGTCCAACCTCCTTGGCCACATCCAGATAATTCAGTCATGTGACAGTAAACTTGATATTGTTCGAGTGAATCATTATTTCGTAGTTGGTAAACACCATTGCTGAGTGACCTAGAAATAGTACGAAGTTTTGTGAATATTTGCAAGACCACATTCTAACATTGTGTAAACTTTGATCAGAAATTTTAGAATATTTCCTGACAGTGGTGCCTAAATTACTTTGAATTTAAACTCGAGTAAAAGTAGAAGTGATTAACTATAAAACGACTTGAGTAAGAGTAATAAGTACTGGAGGCAAAACCTATAAATAGTACAAAGTTATGAGAATATTAGCGAAACCACATCGTAGGTAATGATTTGCGTTGTCCACAATCTGGCTGGAAATAGTTATCATACGACTCAAATCATTGCTGTTTCACATGCTTCGAATATCGGGGCTTAATCGAGCGTCGAATATTTTCAATGACTTCGAGTTATGCCCCTCTTTTTTCACGGGGCCTAACTCAAAATTTCCAAGTTGTGTTTCTTTCTTCGAGTTAAGCCGTTGACGAAAATGGGTGTAGATTGGGCGTGGTCGAGGCTTGACTCAAAGAGGGCTGAACTCGAAGAGCTTATTAACTCAAAGATTACCTACCTCCATTGTATAAAATCGTGTAAACTTTAGTCAGAAATTTTAGAGTAAGGTATTTGCACCACGTTTCCAATAAGCCAGTAAAATTACTGATTCTTTTGTTTATTTTCTTAATGGTATAGAGGACGTTAAAGCACAGATTGGTTAAACTTATAACTTCCTTATATATTGAATAGTTCTATCGGTTTAACTTAAATTGTTCTTCCTCTTAATGTCCCTTTGGAATGTCGAAACCTCGACCATACCACGACATTTCTAATCAAATTCTTTTCTATAAAGTGCCCATGCGAGAATTTTTTATTGAATTGCAAAGTTCATTTAAAATCATAATGTAACTTTTGTTCTAAAACTTTGTTATCTTTCTTATATTTCAAGATCGATATTGGACTTTGTTTGGCATGCAAATATGACTAAAAGTTAAACGACGTTACACTGCATAATCGGTATTTTACAGAAGACTGTTTTTAGCTTGATAAAATTGTCATTAACTCAAATTTGCAGACGAAATGATAGCCTTGATACTTCTTAAAGCATATAACTTTCAATGTCAGTGGAATGATCACATTCTTGGCAAGGAAACGTTTTCGTTCTAAAAACTCACTATGCAGTGTGACGTCATTTGACTCACTTTTGCATATCAAACAAAGTCTGAAATCTTGACAAACAAGAAAGATAACAAAGTTTTAGAAAATAAGTTACATTATAATTTTAAATTAAATGAACTTTGCAATAAAATCATAAAAACTTTGAATAAGCACTTTAAAGTTTTAGTTTTATCACACAGTAATGGTACTGGTGCATGCAGCTCATGCAGTTGGTTTGAGCGCTGCACCGGAATCGCAAGGTCGCGGGTTGGATTCCTGCCAGAGGGTCTATATAGTTGCATTTTTCGCAGCTGCTCCTGATTTAGGTCTAACTAGAAATATAAAATTTACACTCGAAATTTCCATCAACGAAATCCTTCAAAATTGGTAACTCACAAACCTGTTTCTCTGCAGTAGTTCCTTACAAGATGATAACAGTTCTTGATTTGCTATAAGTAAAGTAAAATGCAATTCTCTAGACTATTATCCTAGGAAGTAAGTTTTTAATATATATAGCGTAGTATACATATTAAGATTGCTTGTTTAATTAGGCCAACCCGTCATACTGTAATGAGTCCTTGTCAGTCGGGTAGTAATAATATAAATTATAATTATGATTTTAAACCTTACTTGATGATGGTTTTTGTGTTATTTGAGGCAGAGTGCTTGTCGAAACTGGTTCTGGAGGTTTCTAAAAATTAATGAACAAATTGATAGTCTGCTTGAAGGATATTAATTCCCTTGCTATATTCACGCTGCTCATATGCATGCAGCTCATGGGGCGAGTTCGAATGGTGATATAAAATATTTTTCTTGTATATTATACCTACATATATGGAATTATTTTTTAGAACATTTATAACATCATATGGCGGTCATGTTGGAAGAATATTCATAACAATTATTTTAGTTGGAGCGTGTTTTCTTCCAACGTAGTTACCATTAGAAGATCTTATAAATATGTTGTACTGGTATATACTTACATGACACATTGTATAGTACCTATGCGGTTTAAAACGCACATGTACCAGAGAATTTGTAAAATGTAACAAGTCGGTTATCCTATCTTATATGTATCGCCTTTCCTATATCATATATATTCATCATTTATAGACCCTCCGCTCCGGGGATTCGGCAAAATATTACCCGAAGCTAAATGATGATATTAATTCCCAAGGGGTTTTGCCAAGAGGGAAATATCATCAGTGAGGGTAATGTTTTACTCTACTTCCGCTTCCCTGCCAAACACGCTCCAGCAGAGACCCTGGTGTAGGTTGGTCACGACTTCACGTAACATTCCAAGATTTGGGTTGTCTCTGATTAGCCCCCTAATACATCATCAGTTCACGGAAAAGGAAAAGTCAAAGATTCTCGAAAACAAACTGGGATTGTTCACGGAAAAGGAAAAGCCAAACATTCTCGAAAACAAAGGAAAAGCCAAAGATTCTCGAAGACAAACTAAAGGCAATAATCCAGGCGATTGCATGCCGTATACGCGAACCGACCGCGCGGCAGCGGTTCTTCGCAGAATGCATTTTGAAGACATCTCTACACAATTCTGTATTTCAAGCCTAAGACCTGTATCACAAGGACTACAATTAGGACAGATAGACAATCGGCCAACGCTTGTTTATAATTTCCTATTCTTCAAAATTCGCGATGACTCGCATTTCATGGACACAAAGACGACTAAAATTTATAGCATGACAACAGAATTATGTAAAACATGTATTTTAATATTTCAAGTCGATAATTCCTTTGTTGTATCCTACGTTGTTTTGTATTAAATGTTGTGAATGTCGCAATTTTATAAAAGCGTCAGCCAAATCTATTTCCGCCCAATTTGTATACTCAGGTATACGCACGTATAAAAGCTATTAACTTGGACCATCACGAATGTAAATTATAATAAAGTATGTTATAGTAAAATATAGTATGATTAATTTGCTTGGGTATAAAATACGGAAAATATTAATAACAATAGCAATATACTTATAGCTTTATGTCAGTTACGATATTGTTTGGCTTATATATTCCTCAGCTCCTGTTCACATACGCGCCGAGATAAAAAGTGCTGCACCATTTAGAATGCATGATTATAACGTTTTAACTTTTTTTACTTTTGCACTTTCATGTCCAAGGATAAATGGTTTATATTTCGATGACCACTTTATAACATGCACGAGTGAGTTTTTCAAAGACTATTAAAATAGCCTACCCTCCCACGCAGCAAAATGACTTAAAGTATCACGTGACCAGCCTAAACCGGGATCTCTGCTCTTGCGTGTTTGGGAAGAAACGGAAGTAGAGAGCCTGGCTTGCAAGGTTGAGTTCGCTCCACAATCATACGCGTTGACTGATTGCGAATATAAAAAATTTCTTTTCTTGTATGTATATATAACGGTTCATACTTACCCTATTAGGATCAAGCAATTGGTAGTGATCAAATTGATTGTCCTTGAGTAATAGGTCTGGTTTTTCTGAATGAACATCCCTGAGTAACTCACAATTTTTGTCAGAATTTGAGGTTTTTCTGAAGTTAGTAGATCTACATGACGAATCTTCATTCAGACATAGCAAGACACATTGCACTCCAGTGTGAGCGTGAATATATTTTATCACTGTGGTGTCCAAACGGTAACCTTTCAGATTTTGAACAAATAGTAGAAATAGAATCATTACTATGCAGGAGTGAATTACAAATAAATTTACGGTGGCAGTGACTGTTGGCTGGTTTTTCTGTATTAGGTGTCCTTTACTTCCTTATTGCATGAACCTCACCGACATTTAAGTGTATTTTGGTATATTGACATTGTTCGTCGTTTCAGGGCCGTACGCAGGATTTTGGGGGCAGTAAAGCTTATATGCCGAAAAAAGGCCCAAATATCCAAAGAATAATTAACAATGACATTCTAGAAATCGTATATATATATATATATATATATATATATATATATATATATATATATATATATATATATATATATATATATATATATATATATATATATATATATATATATATATATATATATATATATATATATATATATATATATATATATATATATATATATATATATATATATATTAATATATATATATATATATATAATATATATATATATTAATATATATATATATATATATTAATATATATTAATATATATATATTAATATATATATAATAATATATATATAATAATATATATATATATATATATATATATATATATATATATATATATATATATATATATATATATATATATATATATATTATATAGGTTGCCATAGAGTATTTTACTTAGTTTAAGACACTAAACAATTGACACCATAAATAATTAATAATTAACAAAAAAGTTTTAGGGGTGCTAAGGCTATTAAATACCATCTCATCTTGTTTCTTAAAAATATTTTTCCCGGTTTGACGGCATTAATTAAATAATCAAATAGTTAATCGTAAATATAAAGTAATTCACCTCTCCGTGCGATTTTATATATATTTCAATAAATCCAAACCCAAATTTGAATTGGCTACGTTTTGAATATTAGATAATTGTAAAATAATAGGCGAAACGAGAATTAGAATATCAACAATCTACTTTTGCACTTATAGCCTAGTAATTATTAAAACTTGGACCGGCGTCAACATCTGTTCGGAGTGCATGGTCACGCGATTTAACTATAGTGTCCGGCCTTGCTCGAGTTCACCTTAAAGTCACTATGTCATTTTCAACACGTATGAGATAAAGCAAGGTTACATTTATGTCAATAATCAATATTCTAACAAAACATTGAAAATTTCATACCTCTCAATTAAAAGGACAACAGTTTTTATTAACGCTTGCAGTTTATCAAAACCTACCTTCCTTTGATGCGTCAAAACAAAAGTCGAGCCCTTCTCCAAAAGTTTGGAGACTCAAAAATATCAGCGACAAAAGACTGACTCTCAGAAGTACAGAAGCCAAACGACTAAATTGCACAGTCGATGAGAGCTTTGACGACTCATGGCAGATTTGTTCTGCCCTTTTCCGTTGAATAGGCAGCATGTCGATGTTACTTATTTTCCTCAGTGTATGCTTTGGACAAACTCACGAATGATTCCGTATCTTTTCAATATTGACAGAAAAGCAGTGGATCTTTTTATGCAGAAGACCTGTTCATCAAAGACATACAAATATGCCACCTGTATTCTATAGTCTACAATCCTGGCAAAAATTAATGAAGCATCCAGTTTGATTAACAATTTAATTTATTCTTCCCCCCTTCCCCCCTTCCAATGTTGATTAAGATGAGCAAAAAACCTACACATAGTGCTCGCTGCCATCGATAAACTATTGTACACAATTTTTTAGAATCTATGTCCCACATTGTGCAGGGGGAGGGGAATTTGTCTGTTTTACTGATTTTTTTATAGGTGTTTCATTAACTTTTTGCCAAGATTGTCTAAAAAAGCCTTAAATACAAACATTTCCCCCTGACAGTTATTTACGATAACTATGCTGGTTTTGAAATATAGCTTTAGCAGAATGTTTAATTAAACCAACTTACGAATACGGTGAATTAATATTTGGGTGCCATGGAAATAAATAAATAAATATATAAATATATACAGGATGAGCCATTGCTGCTTACGCATTGTGCGCATGCTCACTGCTTGCAGTTTGAGCACTCTGGCAATGGTTTGATGTCCCACATTCGTGAGACATCAAAGGTAACTATTTATAGTGGTTACTTTCATCCTGCTCATCAGCACTACACTGATGAGGCCCAAAAGGCCGAAACGGTAGCGAAACGATATATATATATATATATATATATATATATATATATATATATATATATATATATATATATATATATATATATATATATATATATATATATATATATACACACTGGATCCAGAAAAGTTTGACCTTCGAATATATATATATGTCGGCCATTTTGAATTTTCTTGGGTTAATTATACGCGAACGCATACATCAAATGTCGCTCGCAACGTATTGTATATTGCAACATTATTCCAACAGCTCAAATGAATAAAAGAATCATTGATTGATGTCTTTCCACATAATCATAATGGCTAGTAGGAAATGAACATTTGGAAATGAACATAGTGACCTGCTTCGCCAGGTCACGAATGCTGCGCGTGCTGAGTTTCAGGGGATGAAATATCGATTCCGTTAAAATTTCCGTTGGCAAAATATAATAATTCTGGACGTAGGTTACAGCTATAAAATAAGCACAAGTGAATACGAAAGAATAAACAAAGAAATTCATCGAGGCATGCTAATAAGCGTCTAAATCTCTAAGGATGCAAAAGAATAAATTACGACATGCCAAAAAGATCAGGTTCCAAATTGTGACAAGAGTTAATTAGCTAACAACCCTCAAATGTTCATTAGATAGCTACTACAAATATGTGTACGAACTTCAAGCAATGATCCTTTACTTATTTGACAGGGACCGCGGAGACGGGGGGGCTGGGGGGGCTTTAGCCCCCCCACTTTTTTTGACAGCCAAAATTATTAAAATAGAAATCTAAATGAAACTTTCTAAATTTTAATTAAACCTTTTCTAGGCATTTTTAACTTTCGCATCTAATTAAAATGAATAAAGGCTAAGCACCCCATTATGTGTACCTTACATGAAGTTCCCTTCAACACAGCCACGTGCTCCGAAACGAAATTATTACTTATATTCATATGGTTTTTGCAAAGTTTCCGCAATGGAGTTGAAACTGCCTTTATTTTTACTTTATTTTTACTTAAGTTTGTAAAAGGTCTAAATTTTGTTACTTTTTATGACGATGGTCTTGGAGATTTTTTGCTAAAGTTCCTCCAAAAATGCAGGAAATAGCGTTTAAGGTAATAGAAAATTGAACATTTTCCTTGGGGGTTTTATTGATGATTTAGCCTCCCCACTCTCTAATACGCTCCGCGGGCCCTGTTTGAGCTGTTGGAATATTGCAATATACGGTACGTTGCGAGCGACATTTGATGTATGCGTTCGCGTATAATTAACCCAAGAAAATTCAAAATGGCCGACATATATATATATATATATTCGAAGGTCAAACTTTTCTGGATCCAGTATATATATATATATATATATATATATATATAATATATATATATATATATATATATATATATATATATATATATATATATATATATATATATATATATATATATATATATATATATATATATAGAAAAGACTTGTATCTTGTTATCAGCAACATTTCATATATATATATATATATACAATAATAAATCGTTGTCCGTTGTACAAAAAGAGTGCTCAATAACAAATTTAATTGATAGAGCAAAATATACTAATTATAATCTTAAAATTTTATTAATCGCTACACAGTGTTTCACGCTTTCAAAGCGATCTTCAGGCGATACTCTCAGGTATATACTCAGGTATCGCCTGAAGATCGCTTTGAAAG